AGAGACGGGGGCTCACTCTGTCATGCGGCACCCGGTTCTCGAACTGCTGAACTACTGACCTTCCACAGCCTGCAGTTCAGCGTCTTAACCACTTGAGCCACCGCAGCTCCTATCCAATCAATGTATGGGTAGCTAAATCACCTATTATGACACAGTCCTTTCATCTAGCTACTTTCCTTACTTCTTTTGCTATTTTAAAATCATCCTCTAAACTTTGATATGGTGGGCGATGACAAACTCCCAGAGTTAAACTTCCTTTTGGGCATACTAGTTCCATGCATAGAGTTTCTGTAAGCGAATCTAGCACCTGAGATCGTTTGAAGATGGACTGTTAGGAACCAAACCTCCAACTTTGTGCATGCAAAGCATGTGTTCCCAATGTGCTTCTTTCCCAAAACAAGGCATTGGATGGGCGTGAATCTATAACCGGTCCATCTGGCTCGATGAGGTCAGTGACTCTCTCTCCACAGTCTAACGTGGGGAAAGGGATTATCTAACACCTGTCCCCAGAGACCCTTTAACTAGAGATGCCAGGGATTGAACTTGGGACCTTCTGCATGCAAGAAAGGTCCCATGCCATTGACCTACAGTGGCTGTTTGAGAGCCAGCTTGGTGTAGTGGTTAGGAGCGCGGACTCTGATCTGGGAGGACCGGGTTTGAGTCCCCATTCCTCCACATGCAGCTGCTGGGTGACCTTGTGTCAGTCACAAGTTCTCTCAGAGCTGTTCTCCCAGGAGCAGTCCTCGAAAGCGCTCCCTCAGCCCGACCTACCACCCAGGGTGTCTGTTGTGAGGAGGGGAAGGAGTTTGTAAGCCATTCTGAGACTCCTTCGGGTAGGGAAGGACGGGGTATAAATCCAATCTTCTCCTCCTCTTCTTTGCATAACAAGTGACATAATAAGGCATTTCACTGAGGCAGGCAGCTACCTTTGGTCTCTGCTTTCTCTCCTGTGCTACAAAACAAAAGATGCGCTGAACAGACTTGAGCACCATTCTGCAATGGGATGCTCACTTATGGAACTCACTGCCCCAGGATGTATTGATTCCTGCCAGGTGGCTTTGAAAACGGTTTAAGACGTATCAGCCAGTATGGTTAAATTCACTGCCACAGGAAGTGGTGGCGGCTACAAGCATGGACGGCTTCAAAAGGGAATTAGATAAGCATATGGAGCAGAGGTCCATCCGTGGCTGTTAGCCACAAGGTATAGATAGGGGCTCTGGGGCAAGTGATGCTCTGTCTTCTTGGTGCTTGGGGGGGGGTCAGCAGTGGGAGGGCTTCTAATGTCCTGGCCCCACTGGTGGACCTCCTGACGGCACCTGGTATTTTTGGCCACTGTGTGATGCAGAGTGTTGGGCTGGATGGGCCTTTGGCCTGATCCAACATTGGCGTCTCTTATGTTCTTATGTTCTTAAATGGAACTTCCATGTGCATGGACAGTTTAGCTTAGTAGGAGTGACTGTCCGTCCTCCACGCCCTGTGTGTGGTCTTGCTGGCAGTCACCTGGCTGACCACTGTGCGAAACAGGGCTAGATGACCCTGCAGGACTCCTCTTGCATTGTTCATGAAATCAAGCACACGCACCAAGGTTACGTGACGTCTCTGAAATGGCACACTGCGCTCTGCCGATGCTGATTAAAAAAAGAGAGAGCTTCTAGAATAAATAATTAAAGGGAGAGTACAGTCTCTGATCTGCCTTTTTTTTGGATGCCCATGTGTGTGAATTCTTAAGCAGAGGGGAGTGGATGCTTCCTTGCAACTCTCAGGATTTTAAAAGACCTCGTAAATAATTTAAATAAAATGGCTTTTTTTAGCCCGCTCTTGTCAGATCTCAGAAGCTGAGCAGGGTCGGCCCTGGTTAGTATTTGGGTGGGAGACCACCAAGGAAGTCCAGGGTTGTAATGCAGAGGCGGGCCATGGCAAACCGCCTCTGAGCGCGTCTTGCCTTGAAAACTCCGTGGGGCTGCCATAGGCCGGCTGCGACTTGACGGCGCTTTCCAGACACACTATACTATATGCAGTTTTGGCTTGTGAATTTATTCATCAGATTTGCAGGAAGGCAGGGAAATAGGCTACCAGCTGCAGGTCAGAGTAGAAGAAGAAGAGATTGGATTTATACCCTGCCCTTCACTACCCAAAGGAGTCTCAGAGCGGCTTACAAACTCCTTTCCCTCCCCCTCCACACAACAGACACCCTGTGAGGTAAAAGAAGAAGAAGAGATTGGATTTATACCCCACCCTTCACTTGGAGTCTCAGAGCGGCTTACAAACTCCTTCCCCTCCCCACAACAGACACCCTCTGAGGTAGGGGGGGCTGAGAGAGCTCTGACAGAAACTGCTCTTTTCCGAGAACAGCTCTGACAGAACTATGGCTTGCCCAAGTGCAGCTGCAAGAGGTGGAGTGGGGAATCGAACCGGTTCTCCCAGATTAGAGTCCGCGCACTTCACCACGACACCAAACTGGCTCACTGTAGACACTTGCAGGGCTGGCTGGACCAGGGGTCTGGCCCGGGCTACAAACCTGAGCATCTTCACTTGGGGACGAGCCCCATGAAACCCAGTGGGACTTACTTTCGAGTAATTCCACACACACAGTCAGACGGAGACGCCGCTGGATTTGAAAAGGCTTTTTTGCAGGAAAAGAGTAGCAAAGATGCGTTCAGTTTTTTAAAAAGAGTACCCAGTTCTCTTTTAAACAGCGTTCCGTGCGCCTTGGTGTTTAGTCATGCCGGCCACATGACCACGGAAACATCTTCGGTCAGCACTGGCTCTTCGGCTTGGAAACGGAGATGAGCACCGCAACCCTAGAGTCGGACTCGACTGGCTTTTGAGCAAGGGAACCTTTACCTTTACCCAGTTCTCAGCTGCTTAGGTAGCACAAAAGAGGGTGATTTCTGGAGCGGCGCTCTGCTTTCTCTTCCCTTCCCCAGCTGAGAAGATAGCAGGATAGAAATAGACCACCAAAACAGCTTTGGAACATGAAAACCTGGCTGCAGGCCTCGAGCTTGGAGGCTCTGGAAGTTTGGTGTAGTGGTTAAGTGCGCGGACTCTAATCTGGGAGTTGAGAAGATAGCAGGATAGAAATAGACCCCCAAAACAGCTTTGGAGCATGAAAACCTGGCTGCAGGCCTTGAGCTTAGAGGCTCTGGAAGTTTGGCATAGTGGTTAAGTGCGAATCTGGGAGAACCGGGTTTGATTCCCCACTCCTCCGCTTGCACCTGCTGGATGACCTTGGGCAAGCCATAGTTCTGGCACAGCTGTTCTTGGGAAAAGAGCAGTTTCTCTCAGAGCTCTCTCAGCCCCAACTGCTTGCTTCACAGGGTGTCTGTTGCAGGGAGGGGAAGGGAGAGTTTGTAAGACGCTCTGAGGCTTGGGTAGTGAAGGGCCGGGGTATAAATCCAATCTTTTCTCCTTCTTAATTTAATTTATATCCTGCCTTTCTCCCCAATGGCGACCCAAAGCAGCTTACATCTTTCTTCCCCTCCATTTTATCCTCCCCACGACCCTGTGAGGTAGGCCAGGCCGAGAGTGTGCGACTGGCTAAAGGTCCACGGCAAAGTGGGTATTCGAACCTGGTTCTCCTAGATCCCAGTCCAAGCCTTTAACTGCAGCACCATGTTGGCGTTTGATTGCAGCAGATTCCTCTGCATCAGAAAGGCAGTTGTCAGGAGGGATGATTTCTTTACCCCCAAATGAGTGCTTTTATGTACTGGCCAAGTGGCCATACAGCTCATCTGTCCTGGCTTTACTGTAAATATATTTTTTTTAAAAATCCAATTCCTTGTTCTCATGATTGCACAGATATTTCTTTGCTGGAGACCGTATGGCCAGGCCTTATAAAGCTGGGGTGTCAAACATGCGGCCCGGGGGCCAGATCAGGCCCCTGGAGGGCTTCCATCAGGCCCGCAGTGAAACTGGCCGTCTCCTGCTTCCAGTCCTGCTGCTGCTGCTGCATCATAGCTTGCTTCGCCAGACTCTCTGAATTGCTCCGCCATTTCATGTTTTCCCCTGGGTCCTAGACTCAGAACTCTGAGCATGAGATTTCTGTGGTGAGTGTCTATAAATGAAAAGTAGGTTTGCAGCTTACAGAGCTAATGTTAATTTTAAGTAAAAAAAAATCTTTGTGTTTGTGTCCTTTATAAAGTTTCTTTCTCCTCTACCTGGCATTACCTTTTATGACACATGTGGCCTGGCCCAACAAGGTCCCATTTATCTCAGATCTGGCCCTCATAACAAATGAGTTCAACACCACCCTTGTTATAAAGTTTTAGAAACCAGAGGACTCTAGGAATAAACAAGAGGGCTTAGGAAAAAAAGATGGGGGGGGGGGGGCTCAAGTTCCAGTGCCCTTCCCTTTGCACCATTCCTTGACTGGCAAAAAAAATAGATTAAATGTTGTGATATTAGAGAGATTGTTGAAGATGCACTGGAATGTTATGATTGGTGCAAGTTGCGGAATTTAGGCTCAGTGACCATGATTTTGCCTTGATAGCTGAATCGAACCTCCAGGCTCAAGAGCAGTCTACCTGAAAAGCAGGAACAAAACAATGGGCAATGACCTTCCCCTTCTCTCTCTCTGTGAGATATCCCGAGGCTAAAGTACAGAACAGGGGCTGGTCTTCGATCTGACAGGCCAGTTTGGTGTAGTGGTTAAGAGCGAGGACTCTAATCTGGGAGAACTGAGTTTGATTCCCCACTCCTCCACATGCAGCTGCTGCCGTGACCTTGGGCCAGTGACAGGGTGGCTGTTGTGGGGAGGGGAAGGGAAAGGAGTATGTAAGCCGCTCTGAGACTCCTTCAGGTAGTGAAGGGCCGGGTATAAGTCCAATCTCTTCTTCTTCTTTGTCTTTTCTTCAAAATTTGCATAACGTAGTCAGAATTTTTGTTTTCTCACGATGCAGAATTTCCAGGGCCTCTCATCACGAAGCGCTCAGCCTCCCAACGATCACCGTGGGAATTCTCTTAATGTTAACGTCCTTTCTCCTTGTCTTCTCACGTTCCAGGGTGCAAGATCAAAGCTTTGAGAGCCAAAACCAACACCTACATAAAGACACCGGTGAGAGGGGAGGAGCCCGTCTTCATTGTGACGGGGCGGAAAGAGGATGTGGAGATGGCCAAGCGGGAGATCCTCTCGGCCGCCGAGCACTTCTCGATGATCCGAGCCACTCGCAACAAAGTCAACGGGGTCCCGGGTGCAGTCTTAGGTCCCCCCAACCTCCCCGGCCAGACGACGATCCAAGTGCGGGTGCCTTACCGTGTGGTCGGCTTGGTGGTGGGTCCCAAGGGGGCCACCATCAAGCGGATCCAGCAGCAGACCCACACGTACATCGTGACCCCGAGTCGAGAAAAAGAGCCCGTCTTCGAGGTCACCGGCATGCCCGAGAACGTCGACCGGGCTCGGGAGGAAATCGAAGCCCACATCACCATGAGGACCGGCTCCTTTATCGACATCAGCAGCGACAACGACTTCCACACCAACGGCACGGACGTCTGCCTGGATCTGCTGGGCGGCGGCGGCCCCTCCAGCCTGTGGGCCAAAGCCCCCAACCCCGCCCGGCGGTCCCTGCCCAGCGTGCGGAGTGACAACCTTGGTTCCTTGGGTAACGCTACCTCCATGACAGAGCCTTACTTTGGCGGCCCCCCAGCCGCCAGGCCCTCCGGCGGCCCCTTTGGCGCCGGCAGCAGCAGCTTCTCGTTCAGCGAACCCCCAGCTCCTTTGCTCGGCACAGACGATACCGATTTCGGGTTCGACTTCCTGCCCCTGGACGTCACCACGCCGACCACCATCTGGTCTCCCTTTGAGCCCCCCGGCAACCCGCTTCCAGCCTTTGGCTGCTCCTCCTCCCTGAACGGCAACTCCCAGAGACGCAACAGCAGCCTCAGTAGCACGGCCACACCCCGACACTCTCCGACCCTCCCTGAGACCGGCATGCCCCTGGAACATCCTCTGGCCCGGCGCATCCAGAGCGACCCAGTCAGCACCCTCTCGTGGCTGCCAACCCAGGGCTCTCTTTCCTCGTTCTCCGACAGCACCGGCTATTCCTCGTCGTCCTCCTTACCCGGCAGCGTTTCCGCCACCTCGGGCTCCCCCACGGATTCCAGCAGCTCCGACGGGCCTCGCAAGACCTCCCGGGAGTGCATGGTGTGTTTCGAGAGCGAGGTCATCGCCGCCTTGGTGCCCTGCGGCCACAACCTCTTCTGTATGGAGTGCGCGATGCGTATCTGCGGCAAACCCGAACCCGAATGTCCCGCCTGCCACACGCCCGCCACTCAAGCCATCCACATTTTTTCGTAGGAGACTTCCTCCAGGGGCCCCCCCTTCTGTCTCCCCGCCAAAAACAAACAAACAACACGGCTTTTTTGAACTTCAAACTGTTTAAAACAACTTTTTTTACAATTTAGGGGGAAATGGAGGTGGGCCGGTAGCGGGGAGATGAAAGAAATGCGTCTAATTTGTGTTGGGGGGGGGCACGCGAAATGGAAGAATGGGCGTGGGGAAAGGGTGAATGGGGCCCAAATGCAAGGGGTGAATTGCAAAAGGGGGGGGGATTTTTTAAAAGTTTACAGAATAGCTTTAACGGTCAACCTGCGGTCGCAAACCAGGTTGGCGCCAGCGCCAGCTGCTCCTTCACCCGTTTTCTTTTCTTTTCCAAAGAACAGTATTTCCTTTTTTTGCCAAGATAGATAAATCGAGCAGAATCAAGGTCCACTTGCACTTTTTAGGAAACGACGAAGGTGTTTTTCCCCCTCCTTTTTGTTTCTTCTTTAAGAAAAGCCTTTTATTTTTTATTTTTATACCCGAAGGTTTTTTTCTTTCGGCCGTTCTAAGAGTGTATCTACATATCTATTTTTTTGTCATGAAGTCAGATTTGAAGTTGTGTTTTGCCTTGTCTCTGGAATCCGTATGCAGAGGCTGGGGGGGAGGGCGTGGGTATTTTTTTTTGGGGGGGGGGGTGTGAACACATAATGAAAACAAAAAAAAAAAAAAAAAAAAAGGATTTCTATCTTTTTTTTTTTTTTTAGTTGAATTTCTTTTATATAGTTTTATTTTTCAACCTCTGTGTATATGTAGGGAATTTCTAGGAGAAAATAAGTACTTTATTGAATAAATTTTAAGAACTAAATATATAATTTTAAAAACGGGGGTAGGGGAGAATTGGACCTTTTAACCTTACGACAGCTAAAGTACTGATTATATATATTTGCTGAGCTGACTTGACGGTTATGAAACTTATATCCAGAGCTTTATTTTTTTGAACTTTCAGAGCCTTGTTAATTAAAGTACATTTTTGCTACATATGAATACACCCTGAGTCCATCTGCTATACCAGTGTTGTTTCCCGGAATTTCAGCTTTTGAGGAACTTCCCTGCTGATTATCTTATTGGGAACCTTTACTGCACAGTGGAGGTTTCCGGGGGAATGTTGTTGGGTGTGCACTCCATTCATTACAGGGGGTGATGGGCAGTTGTGGGCCTTCTTTCTTTAAATCTCCACCACCACCCATTACTGCTATCATCAGCGGGCCTGATAGACTCCAGAGGAACCTCCAGGCGCCCCCAGAATGGATAGGGTTGCCAGCTCCAGGTTGGGAAATACCTGGAGATTTTGGGGGTGGAGCCTGGGGAGGTGGGGTGGGAACCTCCGCAAGATATAATGCCATAGAGTCCTCCTTCCAAAGCGGCCGTTTTCTCTGGGTGAACTGTTGGCGGTTGCCTGGAGACCAGTTGCAATCCCAGCGGGTCTCCAGCTGCCCCCTGGAGGTTGGCAGCCCTGAAATGGAACTCCCTGTGCCAAATCAGTATTTAATACGATACCCGGTGCTATACAGAAAGGGCTTGTTTCGAATGTCTGCTAGAATCGGGAGCATCACCCCGTGGCCAGTGTTCCCTCTAAGCTGAGTTAGTGCGAGCCAGCTCACAGTTTTTTAGCCTCGGGCTCACGCATATTTTGCCTTAGCTCAGGAAGGAGGGCTCCAGAGCAAACTGTTGTATGCCGTAGCCGATTCGCTCGCTCACAACTTGAATGCCGGTAGCTCACAAAGTAGGATTTTTGCTCACAAGACTGCACAGCTTAGAGCAGTGGTGGCGAACCTATGGCACGGGTGCCAGAGGTGGCACTCAGAGCCCTCTCTGTGGGCACGCGTGCCATCGCCCCAGCCAGGCCCAGACCATCGTTAAAGTGTCGAATTCTCTGCCAAATAGTTTTAAGTAAATGAAAGCATTTGGGATGGCTTTCCTTACTTTGTTTGGGTCATCTTAATGTATGATTTGTTCTTTCTAAAGTAAAACCTCGGTATTCAGGTTAAATGGCCGTGTTGGCACCTTGTGATAAATAAGTGGGTTTTGGGTCGCAGTTTGGGCACTCGGTCTCTAAAAGGTTTGCCATCACTGGCTTAGAGGGAGCATTGCCCGTGGCATTTAACTTCTTCCTGCAGGGCGGCTGGTCATAGTTACTGGTTGAAATGCACTCTGCACATGCTTCATTGTTTGCCAGAAAAGGGGGCAGCATCTGGCTGGTGTGAAGTATGCATGACAAAGGGGTTGTTAACCATTGGTTTTAAGAGCATCCATGTATCTCAAAGCCTTGGCAGTGGCACCTTTCATGTTAATGAGGGAGCAGCCTTCTACGGGGCAACTCAGGGCCATGGATCCCAGCACGAGCATTTGAACCTGGGACTTTCTGTGGCCCCAGCCTGAGCTCCGGGCTCCTTGTACATTAATTGAGTTGGTTCCCTTTATACAAACCCACTTCCTGTTATAGAGCTCCAGGCTGCCAGGTGTAGAGGTTTTCAAAGCATGTGTTCTGGTTCCGGTCTATGGGCTCTTCCCCCTTTCCCCAATTTTTTAAAGTATTGTAAACTGGCAATCAGTTTGGGGTTTTTTTCTTAAGGAGGCTAGTTGGTATGGGAAGGAATGGCTTTGTATTAGGCCGCAAAGCAAGGGTGTAAGTACAGAAACACTGTGTGCAACTCTGGTCACCACACCTCAGAAAGGATATTATAGCATTGGGGAAAGTGCAGAAAAGGGTTGGAACATTTTCCCTATGAAGAAAGGTTAAAGCGCTTGGAGAAACGACGACTGAGGGGTGACATGATTGAGGTTTATAAGATTATGCATGGGATAGAGCAGGTAGAGAAAGAAGCCCTTTTCTCCCTTTCTCACAATACAAGAACTCTTGGGCACTCCATGAAATTGCTGAGCAGTCGGGTTAGAACCCAAAGAGTGATTGACACATGGAATTCACTGCCACAGGAGGTGGTGGCAGCTACAAGCATGGACAGCTTCAAGAGGGGATTGGATAAGCATATGGAGCAGAGGTCCATCAGTGGCTATTAGCCACAAGTTATAGATAAGAACTCTAAGGCAAGGAATGCTCAGTATTCTTGGGGGGGGGGCAACAGGGGGAGGGCTTCTAGTGTCCTGGTCCCACTGGTGGACCTCCTGATGGCATCTGGTATTTCTGGCCACTGTGACAGTGTTGGACTGGATGGGCCATTGGCCTGATCCAACATGGCTTCTCTTCTGTTCTTACGTCTGGGGCAGTGATGCTCTGTATTCTTGGTGCTTGGGGGGGGGCAACAGTGGGAGGGGTTCTGGTGTCCTGGCCCCACTGCTGGACCTCCTGATGGCACCTGGTATTTTTGGCCACTGTGTGACCGAGTGCTAGACTGGATGGGCCATTGGCCTGGTCCAACATTGGCTTCTCTGATGTTCTTAAACCAGGGGAAGGGCCGTGACTTGGTGGAAGAGTCTCTGCTTCGCATGCAGAAAGTCCCGGGTTCAACCCCCAGCATCTCCAGCTAAAAGGACCAGATAGCCGGCGATGTGAAAGATCTCGGGCTGGGATCCTGGAAAGAGTTGGCCGTACTGACCTTGATGGACCAAGTGTTTGATTCAGTATAAGTCAGTTTCATGTGTTCATACCAAGTCTAGTTCAAGAGGTCCTCTGATGTTTACAGGCAGGTGAGGAACACAGAAAGCTGCCTTACCTTGAGTCTTGGATCCTGGCACCTGCTGGGTTGCTGGTGCGTCCTCTGACACTCTGTGGGGTTTTCAGGCAAGGGGTCTTTCCCTGAACCACGGCCCTTTCACTGGCTCTTTTTTTTTGTGTGTGCTAAAACAATTGGGACCCATCTGACTTGCTGCTGAAACACTTGGGGGAAGGGGAGGAGCAAGCAGCTGTGCAGATTTCCCAAAGGACATTTTAGTTAACCCTTGAGACACCTTGGAGTGATGCACCACAGACATCTGTCTGGGTCCACAGGGCCTAGAAACTTGCTTTTCACCTTAAAGCATAACCACAGAGATTCTCTGAGTGCACCACAAACGGGTTTCTGTAGTTCGCCTGCCCTTCCACCCACCTGTGGTGTAAACACAGTATCCCTGATCTTCAACCTGGCTTAAAAGCCCCAACCCCTGCTTGTACCTTCTCCCTCCGCTGCCTTGGGTTCAAATGTTCTATCAGCAGGAGTCATTTCGTAGAAAAAGAGGTGCAGGCGCTCATTGTCGTTGTTCAGTCACACAGTCGAGTCCGACTCTTCGCAACCCCATGGACCAGGTCACGCCAGGCCTTCCGGTCTTCCGCCGTCCTCTGAAGTTTGCTCAACTTCATGTTCGTTGCATCGATGACACTGTCTAACCATCTCATCCTTTGCCGTCCCCGTCTTCTTTGACCTTCGATCTTTCCCAGCATCACTTTAGCATTTAACTATAACATTAGCATAACTTATTTGCATGTGACACACACCCTGACATCACCGGAAGTGTGTCAGAAGGCAACACCCACTCAGGCGCCACTAGGCTGTTTTGGATTGCTAGCTATTGGGGGAGGGAGGAATGTGTAGATCTGTCCTCGCAGAGGAGGGAGAGCTTGTACCTGAATAAAACTTGGTCTTAAAGGTGCCACTGGACTGTTTTGGACTGGGGGGGGGAGCTCTGCAACTTACCTGGCTGCTTCTTGCTCTGACTGAGGGCTGCTGGGAGCAGGGGGTGGGGCTTGTTGCATGTGCCCGCCCCCTGGGCTCTTTACTGCCGGAGCTCCGCTCCTGTGCGCTCCTGCAGGAAATGACCCCTGTCTATCAGCCAGGATCTGACTCTTGGAAATTGTCAGGGTGGAACTGAGAACAAACAGACTGGCACACTTTACTGAGAGATCTGCGCTTTTGATATGCATATCTGGTGTGCGACTTTGAGTGACTCATGCGACACAGTTGGCCAGAAGTAGAGGGGCTCTTGAAGGGGAAAATATGACCCAATCTGAAGAGACCCCTGGCCTTCCCCAGTTACCAGTCACAAGTCCTTATTTTCTGCCCTTCTTTCCTTACTAAATGGCTGTCCCTTCCCCCCCCCCCTTTTTTTTTTTTTTTTGCTTTGTGAAATGGATTTCTGGACAAGTTTGTCTATGATGGTTCCTTGCAATGCGATTCTCCAGGATTTCCCGCCCTCCCCAGCGTCTCTTGGGTTGCATCCTGCCTCTGACACGCAGATCCAGTTC